GGGGCATGTTCTGAGCCAAACTGGGCGGGAATTGTCTTCAGCCCATACTCCTGGAATCTTATAGGGAAGCTCAGGAATTTCAGGGATCTTTTTCTTAGAAGTATAGAGTTGCCATTCCTTCTCCTGCACAACCATGAGGATTAGAACCTTGGCTTCATGCCCCCTCAGCTTCAAGGCTGCTGAGCCATCACAGTCAAAACTTATCTGTGCCCTTAGTTTGCACAAGTCTCTGTCCATCAAGGTTATAGGGCAATCAGGAAGATACAGGAACTCATGTTTCTCTTCATGCTTTCCAAGATTATGTTTTATAGATGCCAGGAAGGGGTGGCAAGTCTGATCCCCTGTGGCCTCAACAATGGTCACATGTCTCTGTGAGAGGGGGCCATGGGTTGGGTTACAACAGAATGAGTCACACCAGTGTCCACCATTAGGTCAATGGGACAGTCCCCTATCTTTATTTGGACCATAGGCTCCTGGAGGCCCAGTAGAATGCAGCCTGGTTCATCCTAGTCCTCATAATCCTCAAAAGTTTCCAGCCCAACAATGTCTTCCTCTCAGGGTCTGCCCTTCCCCTGAGCTGGCTGATACTTTCCTTCAACAACTTGGCCTCTGCCTCTGATCTGGGGGGGGGCCTTCTGGGGTTCCCTGGGTCATTGGGGGCATTCATTTTTTCAGTGCCCTTCCTGACTACAATAGACACATTGATTTCACCCTAGTTCCTCCCTAGGGCTGGAGCTTCATGGGGGCATTGGTCGCTGTCCATGTGATTGCCTCTGCCTCTGCCTGGATTAGTTGCCAGGGCCCACCTGACTGTTCAGCAAGGGTACTTCAAGGAGGCCCACTCTCTTTTTCATCTTCCTGTTGTCTCCTGTTTAGCCTCCTGATCTCAATTGATAAAAACCTTTGTGGCCACTGTGTTCATTACAGTGAATCCCTCCAGTTTCTGCAATTTTTGCCTTATGTCCCCCTGGCCTGGTCAACAAAAGCAGCATTAATCATCTACTGGTTTTCAGTGGCTTCTGGGTCACCAGGGGTATTCAAGTGGAGGCCTCATACAAACGCTCATAAAACTGGCTCGGATTCTTATTCAGCCTTGGAGGACCTCTGATGTTTTGCTCACATTCGTGGCCTTTTTCCCTCTTTCTTTCATGCCCCCTAATAGTGGCTCCTGATACCGTTCAAACTTCTGGTAGTCTCACTCATCATTGGGGTCCCAATGTGGGTCTTCCTCAGGGAAATGAGCCTGAGCGTATTTATGGTTGGGCATTTAAAGTACCCTCAGGGACATGATCTTCTAGCCATTTTAGAGCCACCAACGTTATATGGCATTGCTCCTCAGTATTAAATAAAGTCAGAAGAAGCTGTTGTTGACAGTCTGTCCATGTGGGTTTGTGAATCTGGATGATAGACTGCATCAAATCAGTCAGAACCTGAAGCTTTTACATGAAGGAGGGGGGGTGTGATGCTTCCAGTTCAGGAGGTCTGTGGTGAAACAGGGGCATTTGCAAGGTGATGCATCTTGGGGTGGGGGGAGGGCGAGGCCCTTGTTAGGGCTGTTTAAATGTTTCTAGTTGAACCTAGAGGCCAGTCTCACAGGGGGCTTCAGCATAAGAACTGGCAGACTTGGAGTGAGCATGAGGTTCAAGGGACCTGAGGAAGTTGGGGTTGTTGTGGTCTCCAGGACTCCTGAGCCCAGCCTTGTTGGTGTATTTGCTTCTGGAGCTTCCCCATCTGATGCTGCTTCCCCTTCCAAAGAGGCAAGGGGGTGTAAGGCAGTGGCAAAGGTATTTACAGTGGTGCCTAGGAGGATGGGTCTCCTCAAGGTCCCCCACTAATACAGGTTTTTCTAGCTTTTTAGGTTTAACCCTACACTTGGAGGCTGTGGCCACGCTAGCTACCATGACCTTACCTGCTTCCTCTAGACAGGGCCTTAGCCACATGGGCCAACTGAGGACTGCATCCTACCAGCAATCAATATAGGGAAACTGATCTGGATGTCCAAGTTCCCCTACAACCACTTCAAAAACTCTATTGACTATGACCTTGTCTAATGACCCCTTCAAGGGCCATTCTACACTGAAGGCAGGCCAGGCTATTTCACAGAAGGTCTTAAGTTTACCTGGGAGTCCGTTGACTCTGTAATCTCCATTAAATCCCTTTTTAAAGTTCTTAAGCATGTACCCTAGGGGGTGTTTTTACACCCCCCCAGGAGAGGGTGTAAGGGGAGGTAAGGGTGTGGAGAGGAGGTAAGGGGTCCTCCTCTCCAACACACAAGGGAGAACAAATAACACCACTCTCTTTGTCCATCAAAAGCTATTCCCCTCATGGGATTTAGGCATATCTTAGCTGTAGTGAGTATATAAATCATAGACAGGAGGCCCTGTTAGGGCTCACCTTAGACCATATGAGCTTGCCACAGAGCCTCAGATCAGGACTCCACACTCACTTTGTAGCCAACCTATGTCTCATTCACACATGTTCACATGCAGGCATCCAACATTTCTGCCCTGCACTGAGCACCTAGGAATCATGATTTCGCTTTCACTCAAAGTTACTTGAGTGACCCCGGGAGTTGATCAAGCTTCCCTTCTGCCACTTAGGGGCAAGCCTAATATTTGAACCCAGGTTCTTACCAGTCTGATGGGCAGCACTCCCCTCGCTGGTTCCTGCACTTTACCAAGTTCCATTGTGCATCCAAGGACCTCACCCCAACTTGCCAAAAGGATGAGTTCTTCCTCTGGATCAAACCATCCACTGGTGTCTTGTGGGATCACTTCTCCCAGCAGTCTAGGGGACACATGCCAGTGACAAGGAAGGTGAAAAGCCACCATCTCCGAAATCCCAGACATGAGCCCCAAGAAAACTTGTGGGAATCCTGAACAGAGACATGGGACACTAAGGAATTCAGCAGGAAGCAATGTTTTATTGTGCCAGTACAGACTCAGTGGACTCAAGTCCAAAGAAGGCTGAGCCCTAAGAACAAAGGGGTCTCAACTTGAAAGCAGTTTGCAGAAGCAAAAGGCAAGGTTTAACCCATATATGGTTGCACGCAACTCTATTGGCTACTTCACCCCCCAGTGCTATGTGATTCTTTAAGTTTTATCTCCTTGCTATGCCATCCCCTCCTTCCTGCTACATTATCAGGACACAGACTTGCTTGCTTTTTTCTGGCCCTTCTGAACTGATTTCATTCCCTTTGGGCACATATCCAGAAGGGGCATTCCTGGTCATATGATAACTCTATTTAAAAAACTTGAGGAACCTCCATACTTCTTTCCAATTCACATTCTCACCACCAACAGTATATGTAAATGGAGTAAGTTAATCAGTAGAAAGATATAGACTGTCTGGATTTTAATATTAGACTGCCACTTACTGGCCAAGTTAGTGACCCTCTCTATGTCTCAGCTTCCTTATCTGCAATTTGGAGCTCAAGGCAGTACCTACCTAGATGGCTAATGTTAGGATTGAGTTAGTACATACAGGGAAAGAAGAGCAATGTCCAGCATTTGGAGAAATGGCTACCTCAAATACCTCTTATTTTCTAAAATCCAAGCAATTACTCTTTGTTACTTTGTGCAGGACTTGTGAATGAACTATTGAGGAGGTCATCAAGTAAAAGATATCAAATTGTTACCAGAGGACACATGGTGGGGGTTAGGGGGCACCCACAACTTCCCAGTTGCATGCAAAATTACAGGTCCTTAAGATCCACAAACATGAAAAACTTTTCAAGGTGTCTCACAACAAGGAGTCACACAAGGTAGAAGTGTTAGCAAGGATTTATTTTAGTATAACAGGATAAAGTATAGATAAGGTGTGTGGGGGGGGGTGGAGGGAGAATAGGAGCAAAGACTCAAAATGGTGGTTCAGTGTCTGTGGTCTTATACTCTCCTTGGATGGGAGAATCCGTGTCACCAGAGGTCTAGTAATTCTAACCATTAGATAATGGTTCTGAGTGCCCAAGATGGGTGCTGTTTTTTATTATAAAATATGAAGCAATTACCTAGAACTACCCAAAACACAAGGGACAATAGGCGAGTTTTAGGTCTTTCTTTTGCCAGAGAAGCCTTTTTCTCTACCCATTCAAGGATCCTTGCAGCTTGTTAACCTCTCAAAGAGGAAAGCAGAAGCAGGTAGTTCCTCTAGAGCTCCCTGCTCTTGTAACTTAGCATTTAAAAGGAGATGGGAGGGGCTAGCTGTTCTGCTTTCCAGCCTTCACTTCCTTGTTCCAATGTTTGAGCCTCGCCCTTTATTTATTAAAATTATATAATTTCCCTGTCTCCTCATATATCCCTTCTGTCTCAAAGTGACTTTCAAAGGGGAAAATATTCAAAATTCTATAGCTTCTCCATGCACTTCCTTGCTCAACTGAAGCCCGCCCCTCCCTTCTCAGCTCTTTCTACTTTCCTGGTCATAAATTTTAAGGCTGTGCATGCAATGAAGTCCTGTAATATATTCTGACCTGTCACTCCTTGGATAAGGGGATGGGGTTTTCTAAACGCTCCAAACACCCTCTGAATTGGATTCAGGATTGTTCTGACTCAGTTTACAAACGCCTTCCTATACCCCCAATTTTTCATGCCCAAAGTACATTCTTTCAGAACTGGAAAGCAAAATGAACGGGTGCGACTCGCTGCTGGTTAGGTATTGAGAGCCAAAAAAGTGCAGACAAGGCAAGACACGGCACACAAAACCCGGCTCAACACCGATGGTGGAATCCCGCCCTGGACTGCCGGCTCCTGAAGAACAAAAATCTCCTGCAGCAGCGATAAACAGCGAGTGCGCTTGCGTACCTTCAGGTCACGTGCTGGCGGCGCTCCGCCCCTTACCGCTGGGGCTGCAGCGGCTGTAAATAGAGTGTGCGCCTGCGCAGTCTGCCTGACGTGGTAGTGCTGCCCCGCCCATTACTGAGAGGGCCGAGTGGCGGCCCCGAGGACCTCCGCTGCGGCAAACAGAGAGTTGCGCCTGCGCAATTCCCGCGAGGGCCGTGCGGCTGCGCTGAGGTTCCGTCTGCCAGCAGAGATTGGCGGCAGCCTTTTCGCTTTGAGGTGTCTTCCGGCTGCGGTGCGGCGCTCGGTGGAAAAGCGCCCCCTCTTCCCCCTGGCCTGGACCAGGGAGTCCGAACGCTGGACCGTCGGCGCCGTGGTTCCTTAGGGGGACATGGCCCGCTGCAAAGAGGACAGCGCCCCCGAGGTGCTCCTGGGGCTCCCTGGAGTTTGCAGTAAGGGGTTGCAAAGGAAGGGGCCGTGTGAGCGGCGCCGGCTGAAGGCGATGGTGTCGGAGCAGCTCAGCCAGGACCTGCTCAGGTAGGAGGCGGCGGGAACTCGGGCCGCTTCGGTTCCAAAGCGCCTCCTCGGCTCCCAGCTGCGGTTTCTCCTGTCCCCTCCCCGCCGTGTCCCGCCGGTCTCCCTGCTCCTCCTCCAAATAACGGTCTCCAGCATTTCTGATACCACGCACCAGATTCAGAAGGAAAACAGTACACTTGTAGTTAACGTGAAACACCACCTGATGCTAAAATATTCAAACACGCACCCGCTGTTGCTTGAAAGACAATTCTCCGGAGTGGTTCCAAGTCCTGAAACATACATTTTTTAAAAATCCTAAAATAATAAAATTAGGTAAATGAGTATTTATTTGGAATGAAGAACAATACAACAAATTACTGGAGCCCTGGAGCTCTTTTTCTTATGCGTTCTCTTTAACAGTTTGCTGCAAATGCTCATATGGACATACTTAATTGCAACCTGGCTTCCCCTCTCCACCTAGAATACTCTATAGCTCCCAGCAACTTGCAGCACTGCGAGGACCCAAGCAAATGAAGGGTTGTCCTAAAGTTTGATCTTTGTAACCCTCGTGAATTTCCACCTCAGCTTGTAAGGACTCTAGTTAAAGTCAGCTCTTTAAAAAAAGGCTGAGAAATAATTACCTAGCTAATTTCCATTTCCAGCAAAATATTGATTCTCTTTAGAATCACCTTGAGGGCTTGTTAAAAACAACAAAAACAGAAAAATAGTTTTACTGGGTCCTAGCCCATAGTTCAGATTCAGCTGCTGCAGGATGAGGTCCAAAATTTTGCAGGGTCACACTCTGAGGATCACTGAATAGAGTGAACAGAATTATTGATAACTAACATGTGAACTAGCATTCATTTTAAAAAGCACTGCTGTTAGAAAGTTACCCATTCTGAAGGCTCCTGTAGCTTAAATTTAATCTTACCTACTAAAAAATTTCCCCTTAATTTGGGCCCATGAACCAACACATGGTGGAAAACTGCAGTTCTGTTTCTGGGGTGACTTTTTTTTTTTTTTGTGGTTGTGGGGTTTGAACTTAGGGCCTACACATTGAGCCACTCCACCAGACTTCTTTTTTTTTTTTGTAATGGGTTTTTTCGAGATAGGGTCTCTTGAACTATTTGCTGGTGCTGGCTTCAAACCTAGACCCTCCTGATCTCTGCCTCTTGAGTAACTAGGATTACAGGCATGAACCACCCATCCTCGGCCACTAAGGTTACTCTTAAGGAGATGCTCCCTTCCTTACCTGGCTTTTTTCTTCTGGCTAATTTATGACCCAGTATCATGGATTTTAGGAAGGCAACAGATCTAGTTTATATAAAGAAAATGAGACTGAAGGTATAACTGGTATACAATTTATCCTCCTAATAGCAACTGAGGATAGGACCCTGGACTCCCAAGTTCCTATTATAAGTAAAACCAAAACAAAATGATGGAATCAGAATAAGGATCTTAACAACCTGACTCCAGAAACATTAAAGTGATTTGTCCAAGGTCACATGGCTAGAATATGAGCCAGAATATGAACTCAACCCAAGAGTCTGCCTTCTCTACAGTAGTTGATCTTGTACTAACTTTGTCCCTTCACTTCTGCTTCTCTCCTTAGGTATTTCTTTTCTTGGGGGGGAGGCACAGTGGGGTTTAAACTCAGGGCCTCTAGCTTGCTAAACAGGCACTCTAACACTTGAGACATTCTGGCAGCCCTCCTTACCCATTTCTTTTTCTGCTGTACTGTGGATTTTTCTTTGGAATGCTTTGGGAGTGCTGTGTATTTGTCCCGCTTTATCACAGACTCTGCTGAAGTTTTGTTGCTCCCTTGGCCAATGCTAACCTTGGTTTGGCTTTTCCAGTTTAGATGTGACTAGAGTATAGGAATATTTGGTACAAACCAGGGCCGTATATAAATAATGAATTTGGCTGCTTTATTGGGAAAAAGGTTGTGTGTTTGACAGGCAATCAAAGTGACAGCACATGAGGGTGAATGGATACTTTAAAACTAGATAGCAGAGGTCTTCACTGAAATGTTTGGAATATATTCTATAGGCAATGGAGAGAGCCATTGGTATTTTGAAAAGAGGTATTAACATATTGGATCTTAATTTGAAAAAGAAATTGGAAACAGATCATTTGTTTTTATGAGAGTTATGGATACATACTGGCAGTGGAATGGAACAGTTAACAGGGTTGGTGACTGAAAAACGTGGGGGAGCTGGGAAAAGGAAGAATGGAAAGTGGATCCAAATCCTAGGATATTTGAAAGTGAGTTATATAATGAATGTTCAGGAAGCGCTAATCAGGAGACAATAGGAAATTTACCTAGAGTTGAAGAGAAAAGTTAGACTAGCAGGTATAGATTAAAGGTTGATGATATCAACAGCACCCAGTTATCCAAAACAAAATTATTTCCTTCCCTTTATCTCCATACAATCATCAACTCCTCCCAATTTTGTTATCCAAATACGTTTTATTCCATCGTCTATCACAGTTGTTCTTCTCCTGGCCGAAGCCCTTTACATCCATCCAACTACATAGTCGTTTTCTCATCTTTATTCTTATTTTCCTCTAACTCCTCCTGTACACAACACTGGGTATTATTTCAAATAACAAATTTGCCCTGTTTCAGACGATCTGGTGATTCCTTTTCAATGGTAGGATAGAGTAAGCTCTTTACTGCTTTTCTCTGCAGCTTCATCTGCTACTTTTTCTTTCAGTACTCCAAGCAGACTAATTTGAAGTTCCATACTCACACTTAACCTTTGTAGGGAACATGGAGCCAGGAGCTCCTCTTATATCTGTACCTTGAAAAAATGTATTTGTGCCATTTAATGTATCATACTCTTCAATTTTTCAGGCTTGGTTTCACTACTATATTATAAACCGGAGGGCAGGCATTATGTCTTAATCATTTTTGTGTTCTTAGTGCTTAGTATAAAGTACATGCTCAATAAATGCTTAGTGATAACTGGTTTTATCAGCAATTTAAAATGTTTTAGATAGGTTATGCTATGATTTGAATATTTGTCTCCTCGAAAATTCTAGTTGAAATTTAACGGATATTGTAGCAGTTTTAAGAGGTGGGACCCTTAAGTAGTGATTAGGCCATAAGGCCTCCATTCTTATGGTTAAGACTGGTGCCCTTATTAAAGACTGAGTTTGTAGCTGGGTGGAATGATACAGGCCTAAAATCTCAAATGAGACAGGAGAATCTAGAGTTTGAGACCAGCCTGTGTTACATAGCAAGATCCTGTCTCAAAACTAAACCAAACCAAACAAAACAATGAGTTCAGTCTCCTCGATATTTTTTTTCCCTCTTGCTTTTTGCATGAGATAATGTAGCAAGGAGGCCCTTGCCAGATACCAGCACTTTCATATTGTTCCTGGTCCCCTTTTCCTATTGGCCTCAGTTGCTTTTAAGGTATCTGCTTTAGTTTCTCTACGTTAAGGGCAACAAATGCTAGCTAATTTTTTAGGTGTCTTACCTATCCTCACCCCTCCCTTGTGTGCTCTCGCTTTTATCATGTGCTCAAAGTCCAGTCCCCTTGTTGTATTTGCCCTTGATCTAATGTCCACATTTGAGGGAGAACATACGATTTTTGGTCTTTTGGGCCAGGCTAACCTCACTCAGAATGATGTTCTCCAATTCCATCCACTTACCAGCGAATGATAACATTTCATTCTTCTTCATGGATGCATAAAATTCCATTGTGTATAGATACCACATTTTCTTAATCCATTCGTCAGTGGTGGGAAATCTTGGCTGTTTCCATAACTTGGCTATTGTGAATAGTGCCACCATAAACATGGGTGTGCAGGTGCCTCTGGAGTAACCTGAACCAGCCCTTTTTTGTGATGGGTTTTCGAGATAGGATCTCACAAATTATTTGCCTGCTCTGGCTTCGAACTGCAATCCTCCTGATCTCTGCCTCCTGAGTAGCTAGGATTATAGGCGTGAGCCAACACACTAACAATTTTATGCACATTACTTTTTTTTCCCACTTAACAAATACTCATAGGCATCTATTGTGAACAGGATACGCTAGTGATGGCTGTTTGGCTACCACCTGCAACACTTCTTTATTCCCTTGAGGAGTGGGGGCTGAGGGAAGATGGCTGGGAGGGAGGAAAAAAAAACAAGAGTGTACAGTTTGAGTTTTTAATTAAAGTTTGAGAGAACAACACACTTTTGTATAATTTTAAAGTTTCCTATAAAATAATTTATTGATGAAATTATTGACCAAACTAAGATCTATTTTACTGTTTTCAAAATTTTGGAAGCTTTTGTGTTCTGAAGCATTTGCTTTGTTTAGGGTAAAATAGGATCATTAAAAGCCAGACGGGGTTGCTCAAACCTGTAATCCTAACTCCTTGGAAGGCAGAGATCAGGAGGATCACAGTTTGGTTTGAGACCAGCCCTGGCAAAAAGTTTGCTGGATCCCATCTCAGCCAGTGGTGGGGCTCAGTGGTGCATGCCTGTCATCACAGCTACGCCAGGGAAACACAAATAGGAGGGTTCTAGGCCTGCCTTGGGTATAAAACAAGACCCCATCTAAAAAAATAATCAATGCAAAAAGGACCAGGGGAATGGCTCAAGTGGTAGAGCACCTGCCTAGCATGAGACCCTGAGTTCAAACCCCAGTACCACAAACAAAAAAGAAAAAAACGGATCTTTTAACAAGCCCTTGGGGAGTTCATTGTCTAGTAGGTAGGGAGAAAGACACATAAAAATAATAATGATGTTATAGCAGAAGTGCCATAATAGAGGTATGTATTGAGTGTAATGGGATTAGAGGAAGGAGCTCTTAGCTTGGTCTTGGGGGAATGTGATTGTTATTAGCAACTTTCCAAACTCTCATTGTAATGGATATCATTACCCATTACTTGTACCTCCTATGGTGTACTGGTGTGATTGCCAATTATGTTCTTCAATACAGAAGTCCTCTGAGAATACATACCTTAATGATACTGATAGTATTGCTATAGTGATGATGTTGTGATACTGATGCAAAGTATTTCGTATTTAGAGAATACAAATACATAGTTACTTCATAGAGGCAAAAGATTTTATAATAAGTTTCTATTATGATGTTGATTTCTGTTCTTCCATCACTTTATGTGTACATGAAATCAGTGGATTTTACCATGTCTATATACTAGGCAAAGGGATTTGAATGAGTTTGCCCTGAGCCCATCATTTTAAATAATTGATTAGAACATGATTAATTCTATTTGGAAGCGATGAAAAGGTCTTAAATGTCATATTCTTGACCTCCAAGCCTGTATTTTCAGACTTGATAATTAACAGAACAAAGTATACCAGTTTCTAATCTGAATTGTCCATTGTTATATCTGGTTTGTTGATGTTGACTGTTTACTCTCCCCTTCAATTTTAGTAAATTAAAACAGCCTTTTAATAGAAGTCATGTTAACTTTATGCTCTGTGTTTCAAAATAAATGTAAAGAAAGTACATTTTAAAAGAAAATAACGTAAGTAGCAGAAAATAAATTTTATTAGAATGAATTAATAAGAAAAGATATTTAAAAAATGGTTTTGCCCTTTTAGTGAAATTATCTTTCTTTTCACTATAAATTTTTAGAAAATTAGATTCTAAGCCATGTTAAACAGTGTTTTTTGGAATGAACTCAGAACAAACTGATTTTTCTATTAATTTATTTTTATTTGTTACCTCTGTATTTTTGTTTATATGTTATTTTGAACCTGTTTTTACAAAAATTATTAAATATTTCTTAGCAATATTCATTAAGCTATGATTCCTTTTTATTCCTCACAGGCTTTTAAGGGAAGAAATTCATGCAGATATTGCTTTCTCTATAGATTGTATTTTATTCAAAGTACACAAACCAGTCCTTTTAGCAAGAGTTCCTGACTTTTATTTTCATATTATTGGACAGACATCAAATAGATTAACAAATCATGAGCCTGTTCCTGTGGAGAATATTGAAGCGTCAGAATTTAGAACATTTTTACAGTAAGTGCTTTTATCTTTTTTCCCCTCTTATATTAAGCCTGTAATATATCTAATATATAACTGGTTATTTTAAACTTACGTGTGTGTGTGTGTGTTTACTTTCCATATCTATTTTATAACCTAATAAGGAAAATCCATTCATTAAAAATTTAAATTATCTTAGTAATTAGTATTAGTAGAGTCTTAAGTACTAATATTAGAGGCTCAATGCTGGTAGAGGCAAACTTAAAAACTGATCCAAAGCTGAGTGTAGTGGTGCAAGCTTGCAGTCCCAGCACTTGGGAGGCTGAGGCAGGAGAACTATCTCATCCTGGGGCAGGAGTGTCGCTCAGTAGTCAACCCCCTGGGGGGGGGGCGTCCTCATAGAGGAGAAATTAATGGTGTGCTCTTTGGTAACTTAAAATTTTTTTTTAGTTTGTGGTGCTGGTGTAAAACCAAGGGCCTTGTGCATGCTTGGCAAGTGGTCTACCACTGAGCTACATCCCCAGCCCCCAGCCCTCTCTGGGAATTTCATTGAATTATTCTAGCCCAAGATTTCTCAGTAGTGGCACTTTTAACATTTTGGGTTGGTTAATTTTTTCCTTGTAGGGCCAGTGCTGGGCATTTTAGGATGTTTAGTTGTGACAGCCAAAATGTTTTCAGACATTGCCAGATTTCTTTGGTGTGTGGGGTTATTGCCCCCTGTTGAGAACCATTGCTACATATTGACTTTTGTATTGGTATTCAAAGTTTTAAATAAATTATGCATGTATATAAAAATATGAGATAATTTTTTATTCTCCTAGCTTAGGTCTTACTCCATTTGGGCTGCTGTAGTAAAATACCTCAGATTGGGTAACTTATAAACAACAGAAATGTATCACTACAGTTCTGGATACTGGCAAGTCCAGAATAAAAAACACTTGCCAATTTGGTGTCTGGTGAGGACTAGTTCCTCTAGATGTCACCTTGTACATGTCCTCACTTGGCAGAAGGTATTGATAAGCTCCCTCAGGTCTCTTTTTAAAGAACACTAAACCCATTCATTTTTCAGATGTCCTGCTTTTTAATACTGCCACATTAGAGATTAAGTTGCAACATAGAATTTGGTGGGTACATAAACATTCAAACTATATAGCAACTTATAGCAGTTTATGTGGAGCTAAGATTTTTGAAAATGGAATATCAGTTAAACTTTTTAGTAGTTTTGGGGATTCATGTGTTTAGTGAACTCAGAATTTATCAGCTAAATAATTAATCCCCAGTTTAAATTAATCCCCAGTAAATTAATCTGTCCTTCATTTGTTGTGTAGTGTTTAATTGTATAGCTATACCACATTTTTTTTTATCCTTTCATCAGTTGATGGCCACTTAAGTTTTTCAGACTTTTTTTTATTCATTTATTCCTATGTGCATACATTGTTTGGGCCATTTCTTCCCCCTGCCCCCCCCCATCCCTCCCACCCTCTTGCTTCCAGGCAGAACCTCTTCTGCCCTTTTCTCCGGTTTTGTTGAAGAGAAGACATAAGCAATAATAAGAAAGACATAGCATTTTTGCTAGTTGAGATAAGGATAGCTATACAGAGATATTCCTAGCATTGCTTCCATGCACAAGTATATTACAACCCAAATTGATTCATCTCTACCTGACCTCTTTACTACTTCCTGGTCACCTTCCCATATTGACCTCTGTTGTTTTAAGGTTACTGTATTAGCTCCTCTGCAGTGGGGACATCAAATACTTTCAAGTTTTGGGTTTCCTACCTATCCCCATTCCTCCCATATGTGTTCTCCCCTTAGTGTGTGACCCAAGTCCAACAACATTGCTGCATTTGCCCTAGTTTTAAATTCTGCATATGAGGGAGAACATATGACTTTTAGTCTTCTGAGTCTGGCTAACCTCGTTCAGGATGATGTTCTCTAGTTCCATGCATTTACTTATGAATGATAAGATTTCATTCTTCTTCATGGCTGAGTAAAACTCCATTGTGTATAAATACCACATTTTTTTAATCCATTCATCAGTAGTGGGGCATCTTGGATGTATCTATAACTTGGCTATTGTGAATAGTGCTGCAATAAGCATGGATGTGCAGGTGCCTCTGGAGTAACCTGAGTCGCATTCCTTTGGGTATATCCCTAGGAGTGGGATTGCTGGATCATGTGGCAGATCAAGGTTTCGTTTTTTAAGAAGCTCCCATATTGTTTTCCAGAGGGGTTTCACTAGCTTGCATTCCCACCAGCAGTGCAAAACGGTTCCTTTTCCCCAAATCCTTGCCAACACCTGTTGGTGGTGGTGTTTTTGATGATGGCTATTCTAACAGGGGTGAGGTGGAATCTTAGTGTGGTTTTGATTTGCATTTCATTTTTTGCTAGAGATGGTGAGCATTTTTTCATATGTTTTTGGCCTTTTGAATTTCTTCCTTTGAAAAAGTTCTGTTTAGTTCAATTGCCCATTTCTTTATTGGTTCATTGATTTTGGGAGTTTAGTTTTTTGAGTTCCCTGTATATTCTGGTTGTCAGTCCTTTGTCTGATGTGTAGCTGGCAAATATTTTCTCCCACTCTGTGGGTGGTCTCTTCAGTTTAGGGACCATTTCTTTTGTTGAGCAGAAGCTTTTTAGTTTTATGAAGTCCCATTTATCTATGCTATCTCTTAGTTGCTGTGCTGCTGGGGTTCCATTGAGAAAGTTCTTACCTATACCTATTAATTCCAGAGTATTTCCTTCTCTTTTCTGTACCAACTTTAGAGTTTGGGGTGTGATATTAAGATCCTTGATCCATTTTGAGTTGATACTAGTACAGGTTTTCTTAGAGCTTTTATTATGAAATGGTGTTGAATCTTATCAAAGTGTTTTTGTCTTTGCTTCTATTAATGTGCTGTATTACATTTATGGATTTGTGTATGTTGAGCCATCCTTGCATCCCTCAGATGAAGCTGACTTGGTCATGGTGAATGATCTTTCTGATATGTTGTTGGATTTGGTTTTTCATTATTTTATTGAGCATTCTTGCATCGATGTTCATTAAGGAGATTGGCCTGTAGATCTTTTTGGAGGTGTCTTTGTCTGATTTTGTGATGAGTGTAATACTGGCTTCATAGAATAAGTTAGGCAATGTTCCTTCCCTTTCTGTTTTGTGGAAAAGTTTAAGGAGAGTTGGTATCAGTTGTTCTTTAAAGGTCTATAGAATTTAACAGAGAATCCATCAGGTCCTGGACTTTTCTTTTTTTTGGAGACTCTTTATTGCTGCTTCAATTTCATTTTGTGTTACAGATCTACTCAGGTGATTGATATCCTCTTGTTTCAATTTTGGATGGTCATAAGTATCTAGAAATTTGTCCATTTCTTCAAAATTTTCAAATTTTTTAGAATATAGGTTCTCAAAATAGTCTGTGATGATTTCATGGATTTCTGTGGTGTTTGTTGTTATCTCCCCTTTTGCATTTCTGATTTTACTGATTTGGGTTTTTTGTCCTTATTTTAGTCAGGTTTGCGAAGGGTCTGTCAATCTTGTTTATTTTTTCTAAGAACCAGCTTTTTGTTTCATTGATTCTTTTTTTTGTTTGTTTCTATGTCATTAATTTTGGCCCTTATTTTTATTATTTCTCTCCTTCTGCTTGTTTTGGGATTTGCTTGTTCTTGTTTCTCTAGGAGTTTGAGATGTAGCATTAAATTATTGATTTGAGATCTTTCTGTCCTTTTAATATATGCACTCATGGTTATAAACTTTCCTCTTATGACTGCCTTTGCTGTGTCCCATAGGTTCTGGTAGGTTGTGTTTTCATTTTCATTAACTTCGAGGAAACTTTTTATTTCCTCTTTTATTTCAGAGGTGACCCACTGATCATTGAGCAATGCGTCTTTCAGCTTCCAGTTGTTTGTATGTTCTCTACTGTTGTTTTTGTTGTTGAGTTCTAGTTTTAATGCATTGTGATCAGATAGAATGCATGAGATTATTTCTGTTTTCTTATATTTGTTGAGGCTTGCTATATTCCCTAAGATGTGATCAATTTTGGAGAAAGTTCCATGGGCTGCTGAGAAGAATGTATATTGTGCGGAAGTTGAATAAATATTCTGTAGACATCAGCTAGGTCCATTTGATCTATGCTGTGTTTTAGTTCTAGAATTTCTTTATTGATTTTTTGTTTGAATGACCTATCTATTGGTGATGGGGGTGGTTAAAGTCTCCCACTACCACTGTGTTGGAGTTTATATATGTTTTTAGGTCCTTCAGAGTATTTTTGATGAAATTGGGTGCACTGACGTTCAGTGCATACAGGTTGATAATTGTTATTTCCTTTTGGTGTTTTTCTCCTTTTATTAGTATGGAGTGTCCTTCTTTATCTCGTTTGATCAACGTAAGTTTGAAGTCTACTTTGTCTGAGATAAGTATTGCTACTCCTGCCTGTTTTCAGGGCCAGTGGCTTGGTAAATCTTCTTCCAGCCTTTTACCCTAAGCCAGTGCTTGTTTCTGTCAATGAGAAGGGTCTCTTGTAAACAACAGATTGTTGGATCTTCCTTTTTTCATCCAGTTTGCCAAATGGTGTCTTTTGATGGGGAAGTTGAGGCCATTGACATTCAGTGTTAATATTGATAGGTATGTGGTGATTCCTGTCATTTAGTTGTTTTTGTTGTTTAAGGATTTGATTGTGTGCAGCTGAATCAGTATTACTATCTGATTTCTTATCTTTTCTTCTCCTGTGGTTTGATGTTGCCTGTCCTCTCATGGTTTTGTTTGCTTTCATTTTCTGTGTACAGAATTCTTTGGAGAATCTTTTGTAGTGGTGGCTTGGTGGTCACATATTGTTTTAGTTTCTGCTTATCGTGGAAGACTTTTATTGCTCCATCTATTTTGAATGATAGTTTGCTGGGGAGAGTATCCTAGGGTTGAAGTTATTTTCATTCAGTGCCCAAAATACGTCACTCTATGCCCTTCTTGCTTTTAAGGTTTCTGTTGAGAAATCTGCTGTCATTTTGATGGGTTTACCTTTGAATGTTATTTGTTTTTTTTCTCTTACATC